TTGCCCAGTATAGTAACTTCAGGTCAAAGAGATCTTTCTTCTTGTACATAAAAGCAACATTTTTTAGTTTAAATTGATACTTATAAGTGATTTAATACCAAGGACTAAAAACTTCATGTTCAAGTGAAATACAATTAAAATAACAAATTTGAGTTCTGTTTACATTTGTTTGTGGCTTTCAAAATTCCTTACCATTAGTGAAGTGAACTTTGGCTATGGTTCTGTTAAGAAACACAAAGTTCACATATAATGATGGAGACTGACAAACATTTTTTAAATTTTCACATACCCAGTTCATTTTAAGGAATGAAGAGTTGTCTAGCTATATAACTCATATTAACTACCAAGGCTTAAATAAGAATTGATTTATCTGATCACTGTGATTGCTTTTGCTTGCTCTCAGGTATTAATAATGAGGCTTACTTAATGGCATACACATATGCACACATATACATGAGGACAAAAAATAGAGATGATGCCAGCATAGCTACATATGCATATTTAAACATACTTCTACTTGAAATTTTTTTGTGAAGAAAGGCTACTTAGAAAAATTACTTAAAATTTAAAAATTTGCTGTTAATTATATATCGTGGATGTTCTACGGTCTTGGAAACAATCACCCACTTCTGAATTGTTTGGTGTTCTTTGGTCACAGACAGCAGAAACTGGTCCTGACCAATTTTATTGAAAGCATATTAGGTAACTGGTAGAATTTAGGAAAACAGTAGCTCAGATGAAAAGGACAAGACATGGGATGTTGGAGCGGATGTAGGTAGCAAGAACACTCAAGAATCTTGTGCAGAAGCTGCTGCCTGACAGACTCACTGCAGAGTAACTTCTCCCTCCTGTGTTGCTTGCCTCAGCTTTCGAAATCCTGGAAAGAAAACCAGCTTGCCTAATTTGAGTCCATTGCCCATCCTTTGGCTACAGAATCCTACCTGCAACGTGGGAATGGTTATTTTCAAAGCACTTTGGACTGCTGCCGCCTGGCGGGCTGGTGCCCTGTGTAGCTGAGCCAGAGACAGCTGAAGTAAAGAAAGAAAGGCCCAGAGAGTCATTTTCCACATTTCTGTTCCAAAAGAGATCAGAAATGGGATGATTTCCCAGTTGCTATGTCTACTGTTTATTTTATTGTTTAAATTCAACGTTTTAATTGTAATCTATAATTTTAAAACATTTTGCCTTGGTAAGCTTTCTTACTCCTCGGGAAATGTGCCAGTGGCTAACACATAAGTGTGCAAAAGTGGCTTTGCTTGTTGGAAGCAAACCTGGATTTCCAGGCTCTTTTTCTTGAGGCCTCATCCACCACCCCTAAACTGCATTCTGGGATATCAATTGGGCATTCCCCTCGGCCCTCCAAATTCAAGTTATCTGAACTCCAGCTTATCATTTTTCTCAAGCCTGTTCATCCTTTTGCATTCTCCTCACTGGCATATTATAAGTTTCCCACTGCCCAGTCCTTCACTGCCAATATCCATTCATTCACCAAGTAATGGGTAGTTTTATCTTCTAAATATGTCCTGGGTCCACTTACTTCTGTCCACCCTCCCACCTCTGCTCCAGTCCCAGCCCCAACTGCCTCTCTTTTCCAGAACCACTGGGGTCTCCATCTCTTCTCTCTTCTCCCAGTTTTACCCTCCTTCCATCCCTTCTGTTGGATCAGGTGTGAATTTCAGAGTCACAGGCTCAAGGATGCTAAATTGAAAGTCTTTATTTTTTTATAATGTAATTTTAATTCCTGGCCCTGAGCCCTGATCCTCCCTAGTGTAAAAATCCAATCTTGTCACTCTCAGGTAAAGTCAGTCCAATTTGCCAATTTCTCAGGTTGCTCAAGATTCTAAAACCTCTCCCTTTCATCCTATTTTCCTGTATAGAAGCTACATTTTGCTGATGGGAGCTGGGGGTGTTTCTAGATTTAGTAAATAAAAATACATGATAGGGAATTGAATTTCACTTTCAAAAAACCAGAAATGTTTTTAGTATTAAGTATGTCCCATACAGTACTTAGAGCACTATTACAAAAAAATCATTTGTGGCTTAACTGGGCATCCTGCATTTCGTCTGATGACTTTGGGGAGTGAAGGGAAAGAAGGTATAACAGAAAGAAGCCAGAATCAGATCACAGATGAGGACCTGGTGATTTTCACCACATTCACCTGCCCAGCCTTTGGTCCTTTTTACCTCTTTGCTAGTAGAACTCCATTTTTTGTTGGGCAGCAATGTACCCAAGATCACGCATGAGATTTGTGTTTCCAAACTCCTTGCATACAGCCCCTGAGCTGCTAAAAAATTGAAGCCTTTATTCTTCAAGACACTGTGGAGCAAGTTCTTCCTGATATAGCTGAATACAATCCTAGCCTGTGGGGTCCTAAAGAGAGTAACCATCTCTGGTGCATGCGACCCAAACTTGTTTTTCCTTCTATCTGGAAACATGCTGGGTAGAAACTTCGCAGAGCTCCTCGGTGCACTTCATTTCAATTATGACTCTGGCTTCCTTCACTCCCAGTGGGAAGCCCATAACCAACCTCTCGGTGCACATCCTCTCCCTGTAGGCAGAGAGCACAGTGGCAGGACATAGGCTCTCTCTATTCAGAATCTTTGTGTCACACATGGAGCCCACTGGAATATTGTGTTATTCTTCCTGTACTATTCTGGGCCTATGGACATTATACAGCTGGTTCTGGTCCTCTTCTGCCTAGAAACCCTTGGTCATTTGCAGCCTTTCCCTTGCCCTGTGTAGGAGAGGTGGCCAGGGGAATGTTGCTTATCATCCCGCCTTCAAGGAGTGCAGGTGGGAAGTAGGATATAAGTATCTTCTACTCCCAGAGCCCACCGGGTTTCACATGATGTTGGCTTGTGCTATTCTGCAAGCCCTCAGGTATTTGACTGGAGCGAAGGGAACAGAGCACACTGCCCCTGCCAGGCAGCATTTGGCCACCCGCTTCTCCATCCTTTTCTCCTCCACTTCATTGGGAGGAGCAAACGGCTGTTACTTCTCTTCTCTTTCCATTTTGGATACTTCTCAGTCTCCTACTTCTGACCTAGGAATGTGTTTGTTTTATTCTCCTTATGGGGTAGTTCTGTAATAACTGTCAGCTAGGGGCTGGGGATTTAGCTCAGCGGCAAAAGCGCCTTCCTGGCAAGCGCAAGGTCGTGAGTTCGGTTCCCGGTACCGGAGAAAAACCAAAAAAAAAAAAAAAAAAAAAATAACTGTCAGCTAGAGGAAGGCTACAGTTCTAAAGGGTTCTCCTTTCAGGGGCTTTTTCCAAACTACGGTTGCATCCTGTCAGCTCCTACACTTAGACTCTCTGGTGCAACCATTACCCATCACTCTTTGCTTGTTACCTAAACTTCTCATCATTATTTACGCAGAAGTCTCTTCATGGTCTGAGCCTTGCTATAAAAACAAAAATAAAGCAAATCAAAAACAACTTCATATCTCGCCAGTCTCCTCCTGATCACTCTTTGTCCTATACCTAAATGGATCCACTAAATAAGAAATTCTGGGCAGATGGAACCTGGACACTTTTGCTTTGTCTTGTTTAATTTTTGACACTATAGATTATTGCATAGCCAGGAGCAGAAAACTAGAAGCATAAGGTTTCACATTTCCTGGAGTACTTTTGCATAGGTAATTTCCTTTGGTTCCTAGAAGAATCTTGTGATATAGGAAGAGCCTACACTAATGTATATAGATTTTATAGATAAGAAGTCAAGTCTAGGAAACATAGGTCAAACTGGGCGCAACCATGGGTATTTTAATTTTGAGCTCTTCTCCCTCTATACTAAAATTTTTATTGTAATATTATGACATCACATCAGTTATTCTAAATACTGAATTGTGTCCTTTTTAAAAATGTAAGAGAGTAGGGTATGGTGGCACATGCGTGTTATCTCAGCACTTGGGAGACTGAGGCAGAAGGATTGTTTCAAATTCGAGGCCAGCCTGGGCTACAAAGTTAGCTCAAGGCCAGCCTGAACTGCATAGTGAGACCCTAAGGAAAACATAAGATAATATAAAAACATATCCTGCAGCATCTGATTATGCTTTTGTTGAAATAATAACAACCCTACATTTATTATCTTCTACTTGTCTTTACTTCTTGTACACGAATTTTCAGTCGCTATCATTTACTTATTTTAATTGTTGGTTGTGTTCTCCCACTACAAAGCAGACTTCACAAGGCACTGGGTCCAGGTAGACTGGATCAGTGGCTAGCAACTGAAATACAATAATGGACTGTTGAATTAATAGATGTAGTATTCATCTGTCACTTCATTTATCCCCTTACATATTATTTTTATTGTTAGGAGTGAATAGTTTTCATTTGTTGGTTTGTTTGGTCTTTATTTTTGTTTGTTGAGACCAGATCTTACAAGGTTGCCTAGGTTGTTCTCAAACTCCTGGACTCAAGTGATCCACCTTCCTCAGCCTCCCACTAGCTGAAATTAAGCAGTGAATTATTAATCTAACAAACCATTAACTTAATTATAACTGAAAATAAATATATATACTTCATAATAGATATTTTCAATAAATATTTTCTTCATGAATGAATGAATTCCCAGAACACACAATGAAACTAATAGAATACGTTGTTTTGATTTAAATACCAGGTTTGATTTTTGCCTGTCTTCTTGGGAATTTTGACTGGTTGATTGGTTGGTTTTTGGTAGGAGGCTGTTGTATCAAGTATTTTTGAATATTGTCTGTCCAACTACTTTATTTGTCCTTATCAAAGGGAGCTCAGCTCTGGAACTGATAGATTTATAATGTAATTCCTTTAAACTTACTGTGTGTAGATAGCTCTTGGCATTTTTCATTAAACTGACGCTGTTCAATTAAGTGTTTGAAGCAAAGATCTTTTGATAGTTTTTGTGCTTTCACTGAAAGGGGAAAAAGAAGCGCGGTTCAACCTGTAATTATTGGAGAATGAAAACAGCACAGGACTGAAAAGATCAGAATGAAGCCTTCTGTGTTCTGGTTTTTATCCCAGTTACAGGAACTCGTACAAGAAGAACATCTGTGTGGACATGCTGCGGGAGGGCTATCACAAGTCCTTCAGCGAGGTCTTCGCGCTGATGGAGCAGTGGGACGCCCTGAGGGAGGCTGCGAGAGTGAGGTCTGTCTTCTGGCTGCAGAAGCCTCTGGAGCAGCAGCCCGATAAACTGGATTTCCTCTTTCACTACCTAACCAGGGCGGAGGCGGCTGAGAGGAAAGGTAAGTGGAGGTATGGATGGAATGAGGTCAGGCTGAGCACAGCGCAGGAGGAACACTCCCAATTGTTTCCTGCGACGGGGCTGGGGATTTAGCTCAGCAGCAAAAGCGCCTGCCTGGCAAGCGCAAGGTTGTGAGTTCTGTTCCCGGTACCGGAGAAAAACCAAAAAAAAAAAGAGCACATCCCAATTGTTTCCTGCGAGAATCTGAAACAGTAAGACGACTTAGCACAGTTTAACCTGGTCAGTTAAGCATATTTATGGGAGCAGGAATAGCGAACGCTGAGTCACAAGGCCGCCACTGAGCTGTCATCCTAAACCTGGGAAGATGGTACAACCCAACAGCAGAATTTCCCAGTGGTTTAAATCTTCCCATCATTAATTACAAACCTTTACACCATTTCCTGTGTATTATCTCAACACTGGCTTTCACTGAGGACATACTTTCAAGATTACCATCACTTGCAAAGTACAGATTTCCTGGCCTTTATATATTGAGGTTTGAAAGTGTTAGGCAATCCTATTGATAGAATCCAAGAATTTCAGTTAGTGAATAATGAAAACAGTGAAATGCCTGGGATTCACAGTTGTGATTAAAATTGTTAACCACATATTTTCCATGGAGTCCTTTCTAATAAGTCTCTCTTTGGCGTAGTCTAATATTTTCCAGATAGTTAATATATTTTTTAAGTATCAAAATATTTTAATCTTCACTATCATTACATGGATATTGTTGTCACAAGTATTTCTTAGCTATGTATTAGGAACTGGCCACCTTATTTATTTATTTTTAATTTGTACATCTTTATGAGGTACATTATGGTAGTTTAATACATGTATACAATGTGTAATAATCAAGCCAGGCTAATAAGCATTTCCATCTCTTGAACCATTAATCACTTTTATGTGTTAGGGACTTCATGCTCCTTTTTTGTAGACACTCTAAGATAGAACAGAAGTTGTTTTGCTGGGTATTTACTGTGCTAAAGAGCAAGCAGGAATAATTCCTTATCTCTGCATTTTGGAGCCTCTTACCAAATTTCTTCTTCTCCCTCTGCCCCCATCTTTCCCCATCTCTAGTGACCACTAAGGAATTGGTCATTCATAATGAAAGGGGAAAAGGCAAATCCTAGAATTCGACATGACAGTTTGGTGTTCTCCATTATTCTTTTTCTCAATGTTTTGGGCAAAAATACATTAAAAAAAAAAAAATAGCCCAAGTCTTGCCAACTTGCTGATGTGTAGATTTCATTTTGTGCCTTTGTAGGATTTGAGTATGAGGGACATCATCATGATCCTGGGTTCCATATGAAAAAGTAGGGAGGACAGGGACAGCAATGGGAGGAGGGCAGCAGAAGTCCTTTAGCCTCTCTAGTGGCACTAGTGCATGTTTCCCATCAGCCTGTGAACTGACAAAAATACAAGACATACAAAAATGTGAGGAGTAATACAAGTCAAGTAGAGTGATGGGGGTGGGATAGCAGTATTTAGCTGCATGATTGGCTTAAAAACAGAACTTTGGTGAACTCTGAAATGTAATTTATATAATTTCTCAAGAAGTTCACTACTATAAAATAAAATACGCTATTGTGTTATAAAAAAGAAAACAAACTCAAGCTACATTCCAATGTTAGCCTCGATTTCTGAAGTGATATCTACACTGGAAGCAGAATTAATCAAGACAAAATTTGTCCACCAATCTTTTTTTAAATTGGATTTCATCATATTCCCTGCTTTAAATAGAAGTTTTCATTTCAGTACCAAAAGTATGAACCAAATATCTGACTTATCATAAGGTGTCATAAAGGAATCAGCTTGCCGTAAAGTATTTTGTCCTTAAAAAGAGCGAAAATGCTAAAAAGTCTGTTTTAAGGGAAAACACATTTTAATTTCCAGTCTTCTATTAAAAAATAACTATGCATATAAATAAAGTATTTTTCTAATTTAAAAAGCTAATAACTTCTAGCTTTAGAACAGAAAAAGTTGTTATGCAAGTTGTACAAATAATGAGAAAAACTTTCTTCATTGAATGGTTTATCATATATTTGCAGTAATTAAAGTTGAATTTGTTAAATAGGACAAAAATCACCTCTTGCTCAGAATAATGCTTCTGTTGAGTTATCTCCAACAAAATGCACTGCCTTTGCCTGGCTCAAATATAGAAAATTAGATTTGTTGTAAAAATATTAATGGAAATTTTTCATCGGAACAGCCCACAGTGTTTATATGGTTATTTTTTAAAATGTGTATAATTTTTTCATAGGCAACACATGAGCTTTATTGAGGAAAATTGTGACTAGAACAAGGCATGCCCCCAAAATGGGATATTTCCATTTACTTTTATTAATGAATTAATCCTAAATCTCAAAACATATATATGTCATTTTAATATGTGTGTACATGTGCATATATATATATATTCTAAAATATAGGACTCTGTTCATAGTTCTTTTTTGTTTTCATTTTTCTTTGTGTAAAAAACTATAAATGTCCTGTGGAACCTTGCTTCCACCTGGTCATGGGGTCTGAGCTAACTGTCCTGAAATAACACACCTCAGCATCCTCATGGCTTCCCATTGGAAAGACCATCACTCTAGGCTCACAGAGAAGTTCATTTAATCAAAGTTGTGGCACTAAAAATAGTCCTCTGGGATTAGTTCCCTCTCTTGAAACTTAGGGTAACCCAGAATTGTGTAAATGACTTTGGAAAACATCCTTACTTGTTGTAGTAAAGTTGCATTTCAAGTAAGCCGGTCACTGTTTTTTGGATTATTTTCTGTTTGTTGCAATGTCTCTTCATCTGATGTGCTGCATTTCTTCTGTCACCCGTTCTTGTGACTCACTTCTTTATTTTCTATAACATTATGATTAGGGTCTTGAGCCCTCTGGGGCAGAGAAGGATATGGCAGTAATGGTAATGGGTAACCAAATCAATAGATAATTCAAGCAATATTTACACATGACTTTTAAATTATAGTCAAGGGTTGAATAGCAATTTTTTCTCATAACATGTTTAAGACACTGAAGTATTTCTACTCAAGCAGAGTTCCACAGGACATTGATAGCTTTTTATGCAAAGAAAAATAAAAGCAAAACAGAACTGTCTGGTAAGGACAGTTTGGGAAATACCAGGTGAACTAACGTGAATTTATGTGTGTTACTTTACTGCAGCAAGACTTATAAGAGCTTTCAACATGCTAATGTGTATTGTGTACTTCACCGAAACAGGAAAATAGTGAAAACACTTCCCAGTATTTTTCATCATGAAATTTCCTCTTCAGGGAGCAAAATATCTAAATAAAAAATCAACCATGGAATTGATTTTCCTCTTCTTCATATATATGCTGACAATACAAAGGAGGGGGCCACCTACCAGGAGAACAGCCTAGTTAGAATGTAAAGGGTGCAGCTCATAGCTACAGAAAATAGCTTAGCTGTTAGACTTAAATATGAAATCTTGAGAGTTTGTACAAGTACAATACATTGTTCAAAAAACTTCACAAAAAGTAGAGGATGTATTTATATGTAGTTACTGAAAAGTAGAGAAACTGCAGGAATATATATACATATACATATATATATTAAACTTTATATATACCTTTTACTAAGATAGAGGATGCAATATGTTTTACATACTGCCATATTAAAGCGATAACTCTAGTCACTTTATATGACCAAGAATATAAAATATTAAAAATCAGATCTTTGCAATCTGATCACATTAGGTGAATATATGTATTTCAAAAAGTAATCTCAGCATTCTGGGAGGCTGATGTAGAAGGATTGAGCCCGCTCAGCAAGATAGCACCTCAAAAGATATGGAAGAAATAAAAGAGAAAGAAAGAAAGAAAGAAAGAAAGAAAGAAAGAAAGAAAGAAAGAAAGAAAGAAAGAAAGAAAGAAAGAAAGAGAGAAAGAAAAAGAAAGACTATGGAGACAAAGATCAGTGCAAAGACCCTGAAATCAATCTCCAGTAGTGAAAAAAAGAAGGAAAGACAGAAAGAAAAAAAAGAAAGAAAGAAGGAAGGAAAAAATAAAAATACAAGCAAAAGTATATGCGAGAAATGGCATGAATTTTACAATTTCCTTGAAACATTAGAGTAACTTATTGACAGTTTTGCTTTGTTTTGTTTTGTTTTGCCTTTTGGAGACAGGGTCTCGCTGTGTAGTTCAGGCTGGCCTAGAGCTCACTTTGTAGCTCAGGCGGGTCTCGAACTCGCAATGATCCTCCTCCTGCCTTAGCCTCCTGAACGCTGATATTACAGGTATGTGCCATCCTGCTTGGCCTTATTTACAGCCCTTGACAGGTACTTTTTGTTGTGTTCAGCTCCATCCACTTTTTCTGCACCTTTTGATTTAATCACATAGGTGTACTAATGGGCAACACTTGTCATAATTGTGGGCCTTCAGGAACATACTTTCTGGCTTTTCTAGTAGGAGAGGACAATTAGTGTCAATGAATTCTAGCGCCTAATGATTGTTACGAAAAGCATCCTGAAACTTTAACCCAGGGGGGTAGGACATACTTACAAATGTGCTCTCAGAAGAAATGTCTAAATGATACAAAGTTTCTTCATTTGTTCATATTAGCCATTATAAAGAAGTTTATAAAACAGACACAGAAGTTTTTAAACATATAAACATTTACTTTGAAATTTCCTCCTGCAGTTGAGTTTATAAGGTTGATTCACATTACAACACATTTATAAGGCCATCCTACTTCTCATTTTTAGTCATATGATTTCCCTCCTCAGAATGAAAATACCTTCGTATTTCCCCGTCTTCTCCACTTTCTTTGTTTATATTATTTTTCCATAGTTAAAAAATGCTGCCTTCTCTGTAATTTCTAAATATTTTGCAACCTCCAGTAGTAAAAAGTATTCAATGATACTAGTAATCCTTTCTTCTAAAGAAATTAAGTGTATCACTAATGGATATTATTCTCTTCTATATTTTACAGTCCTCTGTTTCAACCAAATAAAATGTCAATTTCTAAAATGTTCTCAGTTTTCACAAGGGCTTTTGTTGCTTTACTATGTGCACATTATTTTATTAAGGTAATTATTTTAATAGCTAAAGTAATTTTTGCAATCAGATTTGACTTATGAAACATTTAGTAAGTTTTTTTGTACTGGGACTTGAACTCAAGTTCAACTGAGCTACACCCTTAGGCCTTTTTTATTTTGAGACAGAATCACATTTACTTGCTAAATTGCCGGGGTTGGGCTCGATTTTGCTATCCCCCTGCCTCAGCCTCCCAGAGTGCTGGGATTATGGACATGCTGCACCACACCTGGCTTTAAGCACATTGTTAAGAAAAAGAGAATAGGGAACAAATATCACAATTTTAGTTCACTCTTCCAAAGGATATGCCCCGAGACACTTTTCTGATGAATGTTTTTCTCTCTGAAGGATACCATGAAGATGTGTACAATAACTTGTATGTTCTGGCCTGTTACTTCGATAATGCTGAAGACAAGTGGGTAAGGAACCACTTCTATGAACGATGTTTTGAGGTTGCGCAACTGATCAAATTTGACGGAGGGAAGAAAGAAGCCGAGGCACAAGCACACTTGGGTCTTCTCTACGAGGAAGACGGTAGGTGGCCTCAGCCCTGGGTGGGCTTTGCTGGACCTGAGATGGCACAACCAGAGAGGATGTGGGAGTGGAGGAAAAGACCCAAGGAAAAGAACACAGATCCTGGAGCTCAAAAGGCAAAGCCTGGCTTTGTGGTCTCGGCTTCAGTGTTGGGTGCAGAATGGACCTTGCAGGATTCATGGCAGGGCTCCTGTCTGGGCACTCAGCCTGGAGGCTCCAGCATCTGCAGGGAGAGGAGACACCCCCACACCCCTCACTGCTCTCCCTCCGGCTGCAGGAAGCACCCATTCAACTGTCTTTTTTTTTTTTCCCATCTCAAAAATGCTTGGGGGAAAGTGAAAAGTACAGTGTGATTTTCCCAGTGCCCCACTCCTGTACATGCAATCCCCAAACTGTCTCTATAACTCATAACTTATTGTACAGTACTTTCTGAAGGAAATCCTCCTTTAAATATAAATTCAAGGGGCTGGGGATTTAGCTCAGCGGCAAAGCACCTGCCTGGCAAGCTCAAGGTCTTGAGTTCGGTTCCTGGTACCGGAGGGGAAAAATATATATATATATATATAGATAGATAGATAGATATAAATTCACACTTACCAGTATTATTTTAAGACAAGCCAAAGCCAAAAGCCAAACCAAAATGGTCAGAAATGGACTTTTTAAGGTGAGTGCTCAAGGATTAAAACTAAGAATTTGAGAATTAAAATTATTTATGCGAGGCTAAAGCATAGGTAATGTGCAGATAATATACATTCATGGAGAAGAGGTGAGTATTTTATTGTGAAGATGTTCTTTCATCCAGCAAAGAACACCAGTTTTTCTTTAAATTTGGCAAGACAATTTTAAAATATTATTTTGAGGATAGGACTAGATAGAACTTTGAATATATATATGTATATATATATATATATATATATATATATATATGGATTATTTAAGGTTTTGTGCTCCAGGGAGTTGTAGGTCATGAGAGTGTGACCCAGAGCATGGCCAGCTCTAGAAGGTGGAATGAGGCCACCTAGTATGACAGATACATGGAATGCCTGGAAAATCCAGTGTGGAAAGAGAGACCCTGCAGATTGGATTCCAGGAGACAGGATGGCTTCCGGAGGTCCTGGAGGAGCCTGGGAAGATGGGTAACATTTAGGCAGGTAAGAAGAAGATGGGTTCTGTAGAAAGGAAGGACATCCACTGAAGCATAGTCAGAGAAAGCGATAGGAGAAACAACCTCCTTTGCACGGGAAGTGTTTTTCTGAGTACCGATAGGAAATCTCTTTGGAATAGTAGCCTAGCAACCTGCCGAGCTGAGTTTAAACTTTGCTTCTGTACAGTCAGAGTAAGGAAAGCGGTGTGATGTGACATTAAGTCTGTCCGTAATGTAAGCTGTGGGAAGAGGGAAAAGAGGAAAGGGAGCTGCTACACTAATGTAGCTTGGAAGAAATGATTGAAAAATACTTAAAAGAACATTCACCCTAAGCATGGTGATGCATGCCTGTAATTCCAGCTACTCAAGAAGCTGAAGCAGGAGGATTTAGAGTTTGAGCAGCGACTGAGCAACTTTGAGATCTTGTCTCAAAATTTAGAAAAAAAAGAAAAAAGACTGGAGATGTAGTTCAATGTTTCTTAATTTCATCTCCAATACCACAAAAAGAATTTTTTAAAAACACCTCCACAAACCGAAATGTTTCACTGCAATATGATTTATAATGCCTCAAACTAGGGGTAGTGAAATATATTAAGCAATTTACATGTAACAGAGTTAGATAAAGCCAGGAGGTTACAAATTACAGCAAAATTCACTCATTCAATAAATACAGACTGAGAACCTAGTACCAGGGGACAAAACAGTGAACATGACAATGCCTACTGTGGTGGAACTTAGCCATTTCTCAATGCGAGTTGGTAGTGTTGTGTATATTCACCTCGTTGAACAATAAGTGAACAACCGATCTCCTAAACCTTTTCATTTGGTAGGACCAAAATACTGCACCCATTAAGCAACTCTCTGTCTTGCACTCCTGATTTTTTTTAAATCTCTGAACACACTTCCTTTAGAGGATTTATAAATTGCTTACTTAGTTGATCCATTCATCTACCCACTGACTTATTCAACCAGTATTGGAGGGTTTCCTGTTCTTTTCTCAGTAGCCGTGGCTCCAAGGTCACCCATATCATTTTAACGGCAGACAGAGCAGCTGAGGGCAAGAGTGAGTCTGGGAAGTGTGGTCAGGGGGGTGCTGTGACCTAACATTCACAAGCTCTTTAGCTTGGTTGCGTTTAGATATCCGACCTCCCAGCATGATAAAAATGCAGCCATATTTCACAATAAATAGAAATTTTGGCTTTGAAATATTTTAAAGGAAAAAGGCTTTAAAATGATCAGATCTGAAATATTTTTTTCTACGCCCTTACACAGTTCCCAGACCTTAGAACCATACTTTTATTGCCTGCTATATAAATTAATGGGAGTCCATATTGATAAAAAATGGTGTTTGATGTGCCTAATGATGGTAAAAATTATCTGCAGCCTTTGCAGTCTGGGGTAGAATTTTCCCGAGAAGAGTAACCAGAAGTGTCAAGACTCTGGCTAGGGTGGAGGGGCACTCACCTGCTGTAGGGGTCCTGCTGCGGAGATGGTGCTGTGGCTTCCGCCCGTCTGATCTGATTGGTCCAGACAAGCGAATGGAGGCCCCACAGCAACAGCTAGGCGGCAGCTGTGCACAGGGGCAGGTGGCAGCATCCTGATCCCACGGGGACCCCCATTCGGGTTAAAAGAGGACATTAGCTGGCAGATGGTAGTGGGCAGGTTGTCAGGGCCCAACCAAGCAGGCTGCAGTCCAGGGCAAGGCTCCAGCTCCCTCGGGGAACTGTAGAGCAAATGAGGAACATGAGCAGAAGCCATGGTCATAAAGACTGGGCACATGGTTGCAGTCAGGGGTAATGTTCAACCCACTGGCACAGATGTGACCAGGCCTCACCCAGAGCCCCCTGGCCAGAGTGGAGCACAGCAGACAGAACGAGCCCATGCTGCTGCTAACAATGGGCCTGCAACATATAGCTCGCCCTGGGTCCCATTGGCTCCAGGGCTGGCAGTCTCTTCAGGTCAAATATCTTCGATCCTCTATCAGGGAAATAGACAGAGTAGTCACGACTGACCAACACTTGCAGCAAATCATTGGATTATCTTCTTTCAGAATTGTGACCTCATTAGTAGTAAGTATCTTATCATGCAAATAGGACATATCGGCCAGCAGCATTCACACCATGTCTGGAGCCCTGGAGCCCTGGAGAAAGCTCTCAGACACCAGATCAACAGGAGATGTGCTCATTTATTCATTCATTCCAGGTCAGCACACAGAGGTGTAACAGGGCCAGATGTCAGACCCTGGGAGAGAAAAGACTAAGAGACATATCCGAGGAAGCACTAACTCCTCTTTTGGTCTGAGCTGAAGCCAGGGCATGGCAGCAAGATGACACGGCAAAGCCCTAACTTTAGTTTTAGCCTGCCAGCTCAGCACAAAACTTTCCCCCACAGTGGTTTAAGAAGTGGATCTGAGCCTCACCTTTGTCTTCATGGACTTAAGAGACCAACTTGTTTCTTCCTAGCCTTGTAAGGAGCCATTGTCTTTTCTTGGAGATCAATTTTGGACAAGTCAACTTTCAATCCACGTTTGAGTTCTCTTCTCCAATTCCAATGGGCAGGGTAGATTCTAAGTATCTTCACCTACTTCATCAGAATCCCAATCCATTTCACGCCTTGGCTTGAAGTGTAGTGACTGACTTTGCCCTTGGAGACTGGGAGGATCATTAGGTGTCCTCCCAGATGACAGACGTTAGGTAATGAACATGCATACTAAAGGCAGGCAAGGTAGACCATTGCCACTGTAAGAACAGTTTAGGAGGTGTATGTTTTCCCTTTCAGAAGACCCTTATCTGTGACTCTGACACAGAGACAGGCAAGGCTAGCCAGGATCTGGAACATTAATCCCAAGTTCTTCCAATGACTGGGGAACTTCTGCAGAAACATCTGTCTTGACTGGTCCGCTAAGTTCAGGTACTACAGTTTTTGTTGACATCAGTTCCCTGGACGGATCCTGGATGCTGTGCTCTGTGTGGACTGCCTGAGGCCAGGAGTCCCCGGGAATGGCAGCGGGTGAAATCACATGATGAGCACCAGGTCTTCCCCTGCAGTGTCAGGATGGGAAAGCAGATCCAGCAGTGGTGGGGAAGGAGGGCATCAGTCTGAATCACTTTCCTCTTTACCATTCTGTTCTCACAGACAGAGAGTTGGGAAACTCATACATCCCTGTTGTGTATGATGGTTGACGCCATCCCCTATACCTCTTCCACCCCTGATACCTATTCCTCCCATAATGATCACAGGGAAGATATCACCTACTGTGAGGGGTTTTGTTCCATGAATTTTAACAAGGGCAATGGTTTGATTTTTCTCTCAGTAAGGTGTTCATCCCATCCTAGGTGGCTCTCTCTGATCTCACAAGACACACAGCATTCCTTCACTGGGAGCCTCAGTCCCCAGGTCTCCCACTACTCAGGATTCTCCAAAGCTGGGTCCTTCTAACATTCACTAACTCTGGGTAGAGTTACTGAGTTGTTGAGATTGTTGAGACTGTGGCTAGGTATGTAGAGGAAGGAGAACTGAATAAGCTGCTCAATCCAGGCTCCAAGAGCACTCTATCCCAACAGAACTCACAGAGTTGGGTACAGGTTTCATGTAGTTTCATGGGGTGCTCATGATTAGAAAAGTATTTGTACATTCCTGGTGTGATGGGGAGTCAGACACAATGGCGATATAATACGGCAGAGTTTTGATACAAGCTTTATCCTGCTGGCTCAGCCTTCATGATTTGATGCATATTTACTCCCCCCCCCCCGTGCATAATCAACAATGGAACAGGGGTTAGGGGCAGGAGCTGAGGTACAGACCTTGTGGTTTCAGCTATAGGGCACGGCTACATAAGCCTTCATAGTTTAGCCCC